TAGAGATAGAGTTGGAAAAAACACCTCTTCTAAAACAAGGCAGCAGATCACTCTGCCATGCAAAGAAACTTGAAATTAGACAAAGGTTTCTAACCATCAGAGGAGTGAAGTTCTGGAACAGCCTTCCAAGGGGAACAGTGGGGGCAAAAAACCTAACTGGGTGCAAGACTGAGCTTGATAAGTTTATGGAGGGGATAGCATAATGAGACAGACTACAATAGCATGTAGCCGCTCAGCAAATATTTCCAACAGATGGTGATTGGACTCTAGATGGGGAAGGCTGTGAGTTGCTCTACATAATTCTTTCCCAGGTGTCTGGCTGGTGGGTCTTGTCCACATGCTCAGGATCTAACTGATCATCATATTTCAAGTTGGGAAGGAACTTTCCCCTGGATCAGATTGGCAGAGACCCTTGGGGGTTGTTCGCCTTCCTCTGCAGCATGGGGCACGGGTCACTTGCAGGTTTAAACTAGTGTAAATGGTGAATTCTCTGTAACTTGAAGTCTTTAAACCATGATTTGAGGACTTCAGTAACTCAGCCAGAGGCTAGGGGGTGGGTGGGTGAGGTTCTGTGGCCTGCAATGTGCAGGAGGTCAGACTAGATTATCATGATGATCCCTTCTGATCTTAAAGTCTATGCGTGACCTGCTCCTGAGGTGGACACAGAATCTACTGTGCAGACTAGGGGGTGTAATGATGTAGTTAGTATTCAGGAAGAGGGTGCTGCTCTACCCCTTCACCATTTACACAGTAGATCAGCGCTTCCAAATAGTCTTAAAGAGGTCTGTTCCCTGCTCCACTGGACAAAACTAGGATTTGAGCAAGTGTGGTTGGGGGAAGCAAGGCAGAAAAACACTTTGAACTTATTACCATATTTATCATATTAGCTTCCTTATTCTAACCCCTCTCCTCCCACACATACTTTCTCTATTGGATCCCTTGATTAATTATATTTCTTTGAACATAAAGAGAATGTTGTTTTACTGAGCTTTTATTTTTATTCTGTTTTACAGTGTCCTTAGTACTGTTGATACAGAGGGAATTTCATAAATGAAATGAGTATATTATTGTTTTTGTTAATAATAATGAGCAGGGGTGAAAGTGAGCTGGTACGGGTCCTCCTCCCCCCAACAGGGGGCACAAAAGGAGCAGCTGCCCTGGGGCCAGTGATTTAAAAGGCCTGGGGCTCTGGCTGCTGCAGTAGCGGCCGGAGCCCCGAGTCCTTTAAATCACCGCTGGAGCCCCAGATGGCGCGGGCCAGGCAGCATGGAAGAGCTGGCTGGGGGATGCTTAACCCCAGCCCTGCCCCTTCCGCCCGAGGCCCACCCCTTCCGGGGGCTGGAGCTGGCCCCCGTACTGGTAAGTCTTTGGCGTTACTTTCATCCCTGATAATGAGTGAAAATACCATGTCTCTAGAGCAGGGGTTGGCAACCTGTGACACGTGTGCTAAAGGTGGCATGCGAGCTGATTTTTACTGGCATGCTGCTGCCAGCTGGGGTTCCGGCCGCCGGCCCCGCTCAGCCCGCTGCCTGCCTGGGTAAACGGAACCCTTGGCCAGCAGCGGGCTGAGCGGGGCCGGTGGCCGGGACCCCGGCTAGCAGGAGCTGGCGGACGGAACCCCAGACCAGCAGCAGGCTGAGCCGCACAGCCCACTGCTGGTCTGCGGTTCTGTCCACCGGCCCCGCTTAGCCCGCCGCCAGTCTGGAGTTCCGGCCGCTGGCCCCTTGCTGGAACCCCCGGCCGGCAGAAGGCTGAGCGGGGCCGGTGGCCGGGATCCCGGCTGGCAGGAGCTGACGGAACCCCAGACCGGCAGTGGGTGAGCTGCTGCCGGTCTGGGGTTCTGTCCCCACCCCCCTCAGCCCATTGCTGGTCTGGGGTTCCAGCTGCCGGCCCCTTGCCAGCCGGGGTCCCGGCCATCGGCCCCGCTCAGCCTGCTGCTGGCCTAGGATACCAGCCGCCGGCCCCGCTCACCTCGCTGAGGGTCTGGGGTTCCAGCTGCCTGGTGCCCTGCCAGCCAGGGTCTGGGCCTCCGGCCCTGCTCTGCCCGCTGCTGGCCTGGGGTACCAGAAGCAGCCCAGGGCTCTGCTCCTGGCCTGGGCCCAGTGCTCTGCAGCCGCCCCCAGCTTCTAAAAAAACTCACATGTCTCGCACCCCCAGAAAGGGCATCTTGCACCCCCAGGGGGTGCGTGCACCCCAGGTTAAGAACAGGGGCGGCTCTATGTATTTTGCCGCCCCAAGCATGGCAGTGAGGCAGCCTTCAGCGGCATGCCTGTGGGAGGTTCACTGGTAACGCGGATTTGGCGGCATGCCTGCGGGAGGTCCGCAGTCCCGCGCCTTCGGCATACCCGCCACCGAAGCCGCGGGACCAGCAGAACTCCTGCAGGCATGCTGCCGAAGGCAGCTGGATTGCTGCCCTCACGGCGACCAGCAGGCCGCCCCCCGCGGCTTGCCGCCCCAGGCATGCGCTTGGTGCGCTAGTGCCTGGAGCCGCCCCTGGTTAAGAACCACTGCACTAAACTGATAAAATCTGCATTTTAATTTAATTTTAAATGAAGCTTCTTAAACATTTTAAAAACCTTGTTTACTTTACATACAACAATAGTTTAGTTATATACTATAGACTTATAGAGAGAGACCTTCTAAAAACGTTAAAATGTATGACTGGCACGCGAAACCTTAAATTAGAGTGAATAAATGAAGACTCGGCACACCACTTCTGAAAGGTTGCTGACCCCTGCTCTAGAGAATGTAGAGGTTATCAATTTGTTCTATGTAAATGATGAAATATATGATAAAAGCATGCTGCAAAATTTCTAGATTGTCTTTAAACTGGTGATCTAGTTCCAAAGTGTAGCAATGATGACGTATATGAACACTGCAACCTCCATGGAAAGGACAATATTTCTATAGGTCCATGCTAATTACTTGCATTTTGGTGTTGATGACACATCACAGAATGCATACCACATAATATAATTTAAGACTCACATGTTGTAAACAAACATTTCTTTAGCTATATTATTAAAACACTTAAAGATGATTAAAAGACGGGGGAGGAATCCTGACCCCTTTGAAGTCAATAGCAAAATTCCCATTGACTTCAATAGGGTCAAGATTTCACCCAAAGAATTTTTAAAATTTTGATTTACATGTCACTGTTTAAGCTTTTTTTTCGTTTTGCATGTCTCTTAGCTTAGGGAATGAAAATGGATGAAGTCAGATTAGTTTCTGTTCATAGTCATTTTCACTTTGATTTCATTGACAATTTTTTTAATTGTGGAAATATTTCTATTGGTTTTAGGTTTTAGAAAATCTAGCATAAGAAAATTTAAATTTTGGGCCAAGTTTAAATTGACAGTTTCTCGTTAAAATACAAATCAAATCAACAAGTAAACAAAAAAAAATCAACCAAATTTACAGAAAAGTTTTCAACAAGTTTTAAAAGTTTTGAGGAAACCCTTTCTATTCCCCATACAGAAATATTTTTTCTTTTTCTGTCTTTCTTTTTTGTTGATTTTTGAAAAATGATGTGCACATGTATTACACAGATAAAAACATTGTAAAGAGTCACACAAATAAAAGAAAAACAGCAAATATTTTGTTATGGGCTTATATCAAATGATCTAAATATTCTTCTTTCTAATATTGTTTCAAAGGGCACTTTCAACTCAATATCTCAAGTGGAATTTTCAGCTCTCCTGTCAAACAGAACATGTTCTGGAAGAAGTGAAAGCCTTGAGAATTATAAATACTACAATATGACTGGAATCATTACCATAAAACATTTAAATTAAGCCACTCTAGGAGTTTCCCTTTGCTCCTGTGAAGTCATTTTGATCTATGTTACTATGCAGAAATTTGCAGTAAGATGTAACTTACCCAGTCACTACAACTATCAAACTGCTTATCTCATTCACAAAGAGTCAAGCAACTTTAGAGAAATGTGCCCTGTCTGTACAAACAGAAAACAGCTTCTAGATTCTATCCAAACAAATAGCCTCAGTAAGGATCTCACTGTATAGGAGAGAAAACAACTGTTTGCTTGCCACCTGGCCTTCCTTTTTTATTTCCATCCTCTCTGGGGGGACCTCACAACCTATTTTCTTCAATGCTAAGTGTTAAGATTGTGGATTCTGAAGGTTAGCAAATACCACACCCTTTCCCTATGTTTGCTTTCAGGGCAGCAACATGACCGTTCCTGAGAGACTGAAAAAATAAAAATTAAAGCATATTGTACAGCATTAGTGTTACTTTGATTAATGCAGGTGCATAAGCACAAAGCAGCCTCAGTCAGCTTCATACCAATAGAATACAGGGAGGATGGAACAATTTTGATGGGGGTGGGTAGGTGCTGAGAACCACTGAACCAAACTGTAAACCCTGTATATAATGGAACTCCCCCTGCAACTCCAGTTCCAGCACCTATGATAGAATAGCTATAGAAATACAACAGACTAATGTTTTGGCTGTTTTGGAGAGGGGTAGATTGTGAAAAGAAACACACAACATGCATAGATCTAGTTCATGTGGCTAAACATGGCTGTACCTATCAGCACACATACGCATATCTATATATACACAACAGAGATGTGTAAAGAGAGAGAATGTATCTGTGTGTCTTATACAGAAAGGCCACTGTGCTTCCATCTCGGGAACACAGCTGTATCTAAAACACAAATCTGAAGACTAGGCAAATGTAACACATACCAATATGTGCTGTACATTGCAAACGTACACACAGCTGTACACGCGTGTATTGTGCACAACGCCGAGAGCTCGCTAGCCTACTCAAAAAGAAAAAGATGCAGAAAATAAGATCCACTCTCCAGAGCGCGAGAGAAATAGCTCCGCTCGATGGACTCGCGCACTCGTCCGCTCTGGGCAGCCCCCCCCGGGAGAGCCAGCAGTGGAGGTGGCTGGAAGGGCGCGGTGATGCTTTTTAATAAAGTAAATAGGGAGGGCAGGACTCGCCCCACCCAGGCCAGCAGCCCGCCACCCACCTGACAATGGGTCCCAGCTGCAGGATGTGCAGCAGCAGCACCAGGGGTCTGTCCCGGCTCAGGTCCCGGTGGATAAAGACCAGGTTGAACTGCACCAGCACGCAGGACAGGAGGGCGAAGAGCAGGGTCAGCGCCTGCCAGATGCGGTCCCCCGCCGAGCGGTAGGTGCTGCTCAGGTACAGGGCGGTGCCCGTCTCGGCTACGAAGAGGAGCAGGGAGACGAGAACGGAGCCTGGGAATTTCATCTCCTCCCGTGCAGGCGGCCCGCGCGCCGGGCGAGTGATCTGTCTGCGGCAGCCGGCTGGGCAGGGCCCCCGCTCCGCCCATCGCCCTCTCCCGCGGGGCTCGGGCCGGGCTGCCGCGGGGTGCGTGCGGGGAGCGCGCTGCCCGCTAGGGGGAGTCCCCAGGGCGAGCGGCCGCTTGCTGCCCCCGCCCAGGCACCTGCGTCGGGTTCTTGTCCCCTCGCCCCCACAGGGGCCTGTCCGGCCCCCCTCAGCTCCCGGGGAGCTCTGCCGCGGCCGGGCGTGAGCGCGGGCTCGGGGCCCTGGGAGAGGCACCCGCGTGGGCAGAGCCTGCCCGGTACGGCAGGGCGGAGAGCAGCTGCCGCAATGGCTAAGGGGCTTGGGTCAGCCCCAGCGGAGGGGAACCCACCTCTTCCTCTGCGGCGCTGCTTGTGGGGGTGGGGCGCGGGAAAGAGGGGCAGCCCCTCCCCCCCCCCCAGGAGCTTTATTGTACTCACCTCCGCAGCCCCCTACATTGGGGTGCTGGGACAATTTGTGTAGTGGGGTGCCCCATCCCCACTGTAAACCCGCTCAGGGGTTCTCAAATTCAGTGCAGCACAACCCCCTTCTGACAACAACAATTACTACATGAGCCCAGGAGGGGGGACCGAAGCCTGAGCCTGCCTGAGCTCCACCACCCCAGGCAGTGGGGGGCAAAGCCCAAGGGTTTCAGCCCCAGGCAGGGCGCCTGTAACCTGAGCCCCACCACCCAGGGCTGAAGCCCTTGAGCTTTGTCCTCTGGCGGTGGAACTCAGGCTTAGGCCCTGGGGCCCTAGCAAGTCTAATGCCAGCCCTGGTGACCCCATTAAAATGGGGCTGTGACCCACTTTGGGGTCCTGACCCACAGTTTGAGAACTGCTGCTGTATATGATAGAAACCACTTCAAGCCAGGGGGTGCAGCAGCACCCCCCACACCTCTAGTTCCAGCACCAATGCTCCTACACAGTTGGTTAAAGACCATTGGGTGATAGGGTTGTCAATTTTGGTTGGACCTATTCCTGGAGGTTTCATCACATGACAATCTTTAATGAAAGATCAATCTTTAATTCCTAGGGCTTGTCTACACTACCGCGCGGGGTCGATCTAAGATATGCAACTTCAGCTACGTGAATAGCGTAGCTGAAGTTGACGTACTTAGATTCACTTACTGTAGAGTCTTCACTGCGGTAGGTCAACAGCTGGCGCTCTCCCGTCAACTCCGCTTGCGCTTCTCATTGTCAGGGCCGCCCAGAGGGGGGGCAAGTGGGGCAATTTGCCCCAGACCCTGGGCCCCGCAGGGGCCCCCACGAGAGTTTTTCAGGGCCCCTGGAGCGGGGTCCTTCACTTGCTCCGGGGGCCCCGGAAAACTCTCGAGGGGCCCAGGACCCCGGAGCTTCTTCCACTCCGGGTCTTCGGCGGCAATTCGGCGGCGGGGGGTCCTTCCGCCCCAGGACCCGCCACTGAAGTGCCGGGGCTTTGGCGGCAATTCGGCGGTGGGGGCCCTCTGCCGAAGACCCCAGGCCTCCTGAATCCTCTGGGCGGCCCTGCTCGTTGTGGTGGAGTACTGGAGTCGACAGTTGTTGATTTATTGCATCTATACTATGATCCCTGCTGGATTGATTGCTGCCCACTGATCCGGCGAGTAGTGTAGACAAGCCCCTAGAGAGTTCAGGGCAATCCTGGAGGGTTGGGAACCCTAATTGGGGGAGCGTTTCTGAAGTTCAAAGCTGATCCTCATTCTCCATTTCCCACTGCACCTTTTCCCCATGTGGTTTGTCAGACTGTAAGTAGGCAGGGACAAGGACAGGCTTCGGCAGGTGTCTTGCACAGTGCTGTGAACTTAACATAATAGTGGCGCATTCCCATGGGGGGAATGAAAGGTTGTATTAGCGTTGACCACCCACTTCAGTCCTCACCAGCCTTCAGAGAGAAGGGGGTTGGACCCAGTTCCCAGAGTCAACCTGCAAGGATTGCCTGGGTGAAATAAATCAGAGATGGCAGGTTCATCTAGGCTGACCTGGGCTGAACTGCTAGCAAACACCGGGAAATCAGATTGATGGCCTAAGTGCAAGAACAAAAGCAGCCTCTGATTTTGTATGACAATTTTCAGTTCCCAACTTGAGACACTTGAATGCAGTTGGTGTTGTGGGCACTCTGCTCTTCTGAAAAATCAGGCCCAAGGTGTTTTAAATTGGCACCTGAAAGCTGTAGCCACTTTTGAAAGTTTTAACCAAGGTTTCCCTAGTTTAATCTCTCTCATAATGTAACACTGATCTCCCCATTCAGCCACTTTTCACTAGCTTACCATGTGCATACAAATTCCTGCAGTGCTTAATTTGTGACAGGGCTGAGCCCTAGCATCTCTAGGTTTGGCGGTTCATAGCCCCGGCACCCCACTTGCTACTTCAGTTATGAATGTCAAAAAATTGCTTGAGCCCTGGTACCTCTTTCATTACAAATTAAGCACTGAATCCCTTATGGCGTGTCCATAGGGCTTCAATAAAACATTGCAGAAACCTTAACTATGGTTTATGGGTACTTGTGGAACCTGGAGACCAGTTGCTGAGGAAATCTATTTTAGAAAAAGATTAAGATGAAATGGGAATAGATTTCTGACCTTTTGTCCTGCTTTTGACAGCTCTGGGGGCTGGAACCTCGGCTTCATCTCCTTTTGGAAAAATAAACAGACCCATAATTCATAGTTCAGCAATACTAGTGGTAGAAATGGTGAAAGCTGTAGTGGACAGGCTCAGGACCTTGCTGCCAAACCCTAAGGTGGTGGATTACCATTCTGAGTTTTCAGAGCAACAAACACCAGCAGATGGGTAGAGAAGTGTAGCTTCCCAGTGTCAGAGCCTATGCCTCCTCAAATGATTATTTTTTCAATTGCAGGGCTTATGTCTTATGTGTTTGTACAGCACCTTGCACAATGGGTCTCTTATCCTGACTGGAGCACTATTGGAAATTAACATAATAGTAGTCATCGCTGATCGTGTTCTCAGCAGGGATGGGCAAACTGCTTCAGAAAAGACCCCATCCATTTTCTCAAACCACAACGCCAGCTTTCATAGATTATTAGCAGGGCCAGCTCTAGGTTTTTTGCCGCCCCAAGCAAAAAAAATTTTGGCTGCCCCCTGTCCCAGCCCTGGGCTCCTCGCCGCACCCCCTGCCACCCCAGCCCTGGGCTCTGACCCCCTCACCCGCACCTCCCTGCCACCCCAGCCCTGGGCTCTCCCCCACCACACACACACACCCTGCTGCCCCAGCTCTGGG